CTAGGAGACGAAACCATGAACAACATCCTGGACAATTAGCAGTTCAGGCAAAACATGCAGAAGGAAGACTTACTACCTTGTTTGGGATACACCGCATCGAACAGACGTGTCCAGGAGAGTTGCACCAGTAGCTATGGCACTGTGCGCACATGCGCCAGGCACCTAGGTGCACGCCATCACATGTGCGGCTCCAACGCCACAGAGCTGGAGTTTCGTATCCGCGTGATTAACGCAGGCGGGTCGGTCATTGGATTATTTTGGCACGATCGAGGCTTGCATCGCGTGAAGCGTGAGCTGCTCTTGGGTAACGTATGGCAAGTGGCGTCACCGGTCTAGAAGCTTTCGCCGTCTCCACAGGAATACAAACGCATTGATTCGTGTATCGCCAAGTACTTGCGAGTTCTGATGGGAGGTGCTGTCACTCCCCAAGATGGTCCTCACGCTCGCTCTCTTGGGAATTCAGAAGTGCTGCACAGGTGGAGGATTCTCCCTTCTCGAGGGGAGCTGGCGGAACGAAGAATCAACTGGTTACAAAGCATGTTGCGGCACCGTCATGCGCACTGCCAGACAATAGCAGCTAGTGTCGGCCACCTCTCGGACGAGGCCCCCACTTTGTAGTGTGGACGGCTCAGTGCCGTCCAGAACCTCCAGCTCTATCGAGGGATCAGTGGGACCGAACGTTTTTCTGAAGTCTGGGAAGATAATAAGTTCTCCTGGGGAAAGCTCTTCGATCCCGCCTGCGAGTCCTCCCATGAGTTCCTGAAGGTTGACCCCATCGATCCTCAGTGCCGCGGCGTTAACTGACTATGACAACTGGTGTTCCCTAGTTCCTGAACCACACTGTCCTGAAGCCAAGACTGATCATATATTTACACGTATGCTCGAAAACTCGCAGGGCTCCCCATGTGGTCTCAACATTGACACCTACCTGGTACGTATAGGGCATCAAACTAACGGCCATCGAGCCGAGCACAATGTATTAGACATGGTGGGGTTATTACCTATCAATGTCCCAGCTACCTCAGCGTGTTTCGGGACGTTCATAAAGCTCGGAAGCATCTAAATCAATATTACGGATCTGGTCGATGTTGCATGGGCCGTGCTCATATGTCCTGGGACCCCAAGCCACTCGAAGAATTGAAATGCGGGGGAATCCATGAGCACTCCGAAGTGTTTGAATCGAATATTACATTTCTCCGGCATCTGCGAGATCTACACTTACCTCACACGTTTCCTCGGCTAGCTCGAGGCCCCCGAGGACTCCATCCATAGAGAGTCAGCAGGAGTCGAGCATCAAGCACGGCAACGACAACGCTCCGAAGACACAGAACACAGACGGCAACGGCAGCGCGGCAGGAATCTCGGTCGCCCGCAAAAAGCAGCTCAACGATCCCACTCGCAAGCTGTCCTGCCTGCTCATGAAAGCGTTGCCAAAAGTGAAGCAGCAAACTCAAGACATCGCAGGCGTCGTACTCGACACGGTTCTGCGCTCAGCCACGTGCGTGCTGATCACACTGATGAGCGAACAGACCATCATCTACGCGTCACAGGTCAAGCAGAAAGGGGAAAAATCAAGATCTAGACCCGCCATTCATCTGGGCCATGGGGCGGTTACGGAAAGGAGTAGTGAGCCTTGGAGACGCGATCGGAGCCTAGAACGCCCAAAAAGTGCAACAAGGCTTCAACGAGTACGGAGGATATGACTCAGTCGACATGAAGTGCGATCTCGTGTTTTTTTGCCGCCAAGACAAGGTCTACCAGAAGGAGCAGCGCCGCTTGACCACCTCGGTCCTAGACTCAGCATGTCGCAGCCTCGTGATTTCGATTTGCCAGATTCCGAAGCGGAAGCATGGACGTGCCCTAGCAGCCTACATGGAGAGGGAAATTCAGCAGTGTCTCGAGACACTCCTGAAATGATGCCTTCCACACATGATGCACATGAGGGATACGAGTTGGTTGACGATGATCTGCAGGCCCTTCATCTATCCCCTCCATGGGCCCAGGCCCAGCGTGAGTTACTTGGAGAGCAGGGCAGAGGATATGAGAGGTTCGTCATCTGATGGCATTCCACCTCCACCAGGGCTGGACCTAAACCTTGTTTTTCGTGTTGGTTTCGTTGTGATGTTCATGTTTGCTGTACCTGTTTACCTGTACCTCCCTGTCATAACGAAAAAGAGAAGGGAAAAGAAAAAAAATCCCGGCAAAGCAACCTAACAGCGATGTGTCGAAGCATATCTAAGATTCAAAGAAAATCCAGTTGTAGAATCTCCTCGCAGTCGTAGTCGCATTCGCGATTCGCAGCGGCAACGGCAGTCGCAGTCACAAACCTCAGCCTGCCTCAGCCTCAGCCTCAGCCTGCCTCAGCCTCAGCCTGCCTCAGCCTCAGCCTCAGCCTGCTTCAGCCTCAGCCTCAGTCTGCCTTCAGCCTCGGCCTCAGCCTCAGCCTGCCTCAGCCTCAGCCTGCATCAGCCTCAGCCTCAGCCTCAGCCTGCCTCAGCATCAGCCTGCTTCAGCCTCAGCCTCAGCCTGCCTCAGCCTCAGCCTCAGTCTGCTTCAGCCTCAGCCTCAGTCTGCCTTCAGCCTCGGCCTCAGCCTCAGCCTGCCTCAGCCTCAGCCTGCCTCGGCCGCAGCATCAGCCTGCCTCAGCATTCAAAATGTGGCCCAGGAACGGAGTTCGGAACTGAAGAACACGAACTAGAAAAAACCTCAAAACAGTTGGCTCCGGGCATTCAAATGTGGCCCGAACGAGTTCTGGGAACTGAGAAGAGCACGAAGTGGCCTACAGTTGGCTCCGCGCATCCAAAATGTGGCCCGGGAGTAGAGTTCTGGGAAGTCGAAGAGCACGAAGTGGCCTACAGTTGGCTCCGGGCATCCAAAAATGTGGCCCGGGAATGGAGTTCTGGGAAGTCGAAGAGCACGAAGTGGCCTACAGTTGGCTCCGGGCATTCAGAATGTGGCCCGGGAATGGAGTTCTGGGAGGTCGAAGAGCACGAAGTGTGTGACTGTTTGCGAAAAACGAGTGCGGCGGCAGCCGCGGCGGCAGCCTGTCCGGGTCCCGCCCAGACCCCCCTGAGGAGTCATGATGCTCTCTTTTGAGACCCAAGAGCTGTTAGGTAAAAACGAAGTCCAACAACATAGCGTTTAGGTCCAGCCCTGGTACCCCTCCCCCCTCCGCACAGCTGTGCTCTGGAGCTCGGTGTCCCTGTGGCCGCGGTTCCGTCGTGCAAGCGCCAGGGCACTGCACCTCCTCTCGCTCCAATCTCGGAGGCCCACATTATCACATAGTGTGTTGCCTCGTGTGTGGTCTTCCGAGGGACTTTGACAGTCTAGACACGTTTGAGGACCAAGCAGATCCTGCGAATAGCTGCATATCGAGCTACCTCTTAGCTTTCTCGGTCCCTCGTGGCTACCTTATGCGTCGGTGGCTGCCTGGGCCAGGCTGGTCCTCCTCGGGACCTTAGCTGCGACCCTGGTGCATAGAGCATGGCATATGCACCCTCCCCTTAGAGGTATGCCGCGCCAGATGCCATCCTCAGTTGCGTGCAGCATCAGGGCTCACGGTTGCGCGACTATGGCATCCGCCGACCCTGTCGGCGTGTGTGAGGCGCTTGTCCGCTCGAGTCGTCGTGTCTCCGTCGTTCGCTGGTCGTCGCCTCTGCCGTCCCCTCTCTCCCTGCGCTCCCCCTCCCCCTGGGCCCGTCGTCGCTCCCCCCCTTTCCCTGGGCCCTCCTCCTCGAGCGCTGGGCCCGTCACCTCTCCCCCCCCTTCCCCTGGGCCCTCCTCCTCAAGCGCGCCAGCCAAGGCGAAATTGAGCAACGTGGTAATTCACTCGAAGGGAAGGCCTTTCCCTTTGCTCCCTGCCCCGCCGGGAGGGGGGTGGGGTCCACAAGACTGGTGGTCCCGGATCCGATACGACTCCCCCCCGGGAGGTCCCGGGGCCCAAAAAAGCCCCTAGACGGGCCAAGAGTGCCCCAAGAGGCCCCCAAGACGGTCCAAGAGGGCCCCGAATCGCCGAACGATCTGTCCAAGACGCCTTGACGGCCTCCAGACGGCCCAAGAGCCCTGCAAGACGCCCCAAGAGGCCTCAAGGAGCATTCCCAAAAGGGCCCCAAGAGGAAGAATCACTGATTTCCCAATGGTTTTTGGAGCATTCCGGCGTTCTCGCCCATTCCATTTCCCGACGCTCCAAGACGGCCCGAGAGGCCCCCCAGATAGATCCAAGACGGCCCAAGAGGGCTCCAGGAGGGACCCGAAACGGCCTTGGAGGGCTCCAAAACGGCACACGACGCCTCCAAGACGGCCCAAGAGGCCCCCAAAACGGCTCCAAGAGGGTGCCCAGACGAGGGACCAGAACGGACATTTCGAGCCCTCGGCCCCGAGAGGCTCGCAGGAGGAGCCCAGAGGCCCCCAAGAGACCCCCACGAGGCCTCAAGAGGCCCCCCAGAGGCCCCCAGGGAGCCCCGGGAGGCCCCCAAGAGGCTCTCAAGAGGCCCCCAAAGAACCCCATAACCTGTCCCTCAGAGGCCCCCGAGGGCGCTTCGAAGAGACCCCAAGAAGCATCCATGAGGACTCTGACCCAAGTCAGCGTCGTCGTCGCCGCCGCCGCCGTTGTCGTCGCTCCCCTTCCCTTCAGGGTCGGCGGCACCGGCCGTAAGGCCTTCGCAATCAGATCGAGTGTAGAAGAACTCACTATGACAGAATTCAGGTTGGCGCTGAAGGTGTGTGAATCGAATCGAATCCTCCTCCCCCTCCCCCTCCCCTCCTCCTCCTCCTCCTCCTCCACCACCTCCACCTCCACTCCTCCGCCTACCGCCTCCTCCTCCTCCTACTCAACTCCTCTCGGTGTTCCTCCGCGTCTTCCTCTCTCTCCAAATCCTCATCCTCAACCTACTCCTCCTCCTCTCCTCCACCACCTCCTCCTCCTCCTCCCCCTCCTCCTCCTCTTCCTCCTCCTCCTCCTCCTCCTCGGGGCGGGCGGGGGTCGCAGGGGCCAACCCCGCCTGGCTTCAGGGGGGGGCGCTCGAGGAGCTTCTTCGGCTTCTTCGTCGTGACGCCGACGTGGACCGCTGGCGGGCGGGGGTGGGGCCCAGGCCTCCTCTCGCCGCGAAGAGACTACGGCGAAGAACACTCGGGCCACGAACGAGTCTAATCGGGTGCTCTGTGCCACGCTGCCTTGAAACGAGTTGCTCGCGCAGTCACGCTGGTGGGCGGAGCACGAAAGGTCACACGGGGGGGCAGGGGGCATCAGGAAGGGGAGTGGTCTCGACGAGGCCACGCTGTCTTGAAGCAGGCATCACGCGCTGTCACGCCAGCAGGCGGAGCACGTGCGGTCACTGGAAGACGAATTCCGAGGCTGGGCAACTCAGTCTTGCGGTCTTCCCTGATCACGTATTGAGGCACTTTCAAAATATCAGGCCCTTAACGCCGATGTGCTCGTCATGGAAGTCGTATGCGATCTGGACGGGTCACTGCGAAGCTGGGCGGCCAACATGCGACGTGGCCGACCCATGTATCAATGAACAAACGGCATGAATAGAACTGCCCAGCTCTCCTCGTCATCCTCCTCCTCATCATCAACATCATCAGCATCAGCATCCTCCTTTTCCTCCTCCTGCGTTGTTCAGTTCCACCTATCGTGAACTCTGCGATGAGGCCTGGCTGCGATGAGGCTGCCGCGGCAAATCATGGCAGGAGTCACGAGTGCTGACGATTGCCGACCAGGACGCGCGTCCTTCGGGATGCATGGCGGCATTGTTTGCCTGCCCTGGTAGATGGCTTCGCGCATGCCACTATGGGAGCGATGCCCACGGCAATACATTCGAATGGCTGGTCATGCTCATCATCGGGACCTCGGCCACTACACAAGCACGAATGGCAGATGCGTCCGTACGATTGTAAAACGGTGTTCAAAACTCGATTGGCTGGTTGCTGGAAGGTCACGGTGCAATCGTTAAGACCCATCGGCTTCGCAGTGTTCACACGCGGTTGCTGGAACCACGCGCGCACTTCGCGCGCGCCTCGCGCAGTCTGCTCGCTGTGGTGGAACGAAATGAAACAGTCTTTCCTCCCATGTCCTCACCCCTCCTCCCTCCAACTCCTCCACCCTGCTTCCTGCATCGTCCAATTGTTCCTCCTCGTCCACCTCGTTCCTCCGTGTCGCCCTTTTGCTGCGGGCTGCTGGGCGCCCCGGTTTGACCTCTTGGGCGCCCAGGGTGTTGTTCGGAGCCTTCTGGGGGGGTTCTTGGGAACCTCCGGGTCGCCTCTGGCTAGCCAAAGGGTCAGCTGCTAGCTGACCCGGTCCCTGCGCTTTAGTTCGCCCCACAGCGAATGTGAACCAATAGATGTCCTCGTCCTCCTCCTCTTCCTCCTCCTCCTCCTCTTCCTCCTCCTCCTTCTCGACCTTCTCGTCCTCCTCCTCCTCCTCCTCCTCCTCCTTTTCGTCCTTCTCGTCCTCCTCCTCCTTCTCGTCCTTCTCGTCCTCCTCCTCCTTCCCCTCCGACTTTCCGAGAGGGCACCTCGCCAGTTCTAGGACGAGATCCTGCTCCCATGGCGTGTTCCTCCCCCTCATCCTCCTGATGATCAGCATCCTCTCCTTCCTCTTCTTCATCATCATCCGCATCTTCATCACCACCATCATTATGATCATCATCACCATCATCATCACCATCATCGCCATCATCATCATCATCATCATCATCATCATCATCATCATCGTCAGCATCGTCATCGTATCATCATCATCACCATCCTCATCATCAGCAGCACCATCATCAGCAGCACAATCGTCATCAGAATCATCATCAGCAGCTTAAGTACCGTGGACGTCATCATCATCATGATCATCATCAGCTTCCGCATCAGCATCAGCATCAGCATCCGCATCCGCATCAGCATCATCATCATCAGCAGCATCATAATCAGCATAAACATAACAGTCATCATCATCAGCAGCACCATCATCATCGACATCATCGGCATCATCAGCATAATCATCATCAGCATCAGCAACAGCATCATCATCAGAATCGTAATCCGAATCATGATCATAATCATAATCATCATCGTCAGCATCATCATCATCGTCGTCATCGTCATCGTCATCATCATCATCCTCATCCTCGTACTCATCACTCATCATCAACATCACCACCAGCATCATCATCAGCATCATCATCAGCATCATCAGCATCATCAGCATAATCAGCATCACCAGCACCAGCAACAGCATCATCATCCGCATCAGCATCATCATCACCAGCAGCAGCATTAGCATCATCACCATCGTCATCATGAGAAGAAACAGCATCACCACCAGCAGCAGCAATAGCAGAATCATCCTCATCATCATTACAATCACGATTAGTATCATCATCAGCAGCAGCAGCACCAGCATCATCATCAGCAACATCATCATCAACAGCAGCAGCCGTAACAGCATCGCCATCATGGAACCATCGTCATCATCATCATCCTCATCATTGTCATCATCATCATGACGAGCACCAGCATAATCATCAGCAGCATCATCACCAGCATCATCGTTACTACCATCAAGATCACCATCCTCATCATCCTCATCATCATTGTCAACATCGGCGTCGTTCTAAGCAGCACTGTCATCATCCACTTCACCCGCACTGTCAATCGGGCAAGCCTCCTCATCCTCGTCCTCATCGGCATCATCATCATCATCATCACCTTGAGTATCGTCGTCGACATCATCATCATTCCCATCATCAGCATCGGCATCATCATCAACATCCGCATCCGAATCAGCATCAGCATCATCATCATCAGAATCATCATCAACAGCATCAGCATCAGCATAAACAGCATTATCATCAACATCAGCAGCACCATCATCATCGACATCATCGGCATCATCAGCATAATCACCATCAGCATCAGCAACAGCATCATCATAATCAGAATGATAATCATGATCATAGTCGTCATCATCAGCATCATCATCATCGTCATCAGCATCATCATCAGCATCATCATCAGCATCAGCATGATCATCATCATCCTCGTAATCAGCATCGTAATCAACAATATCACCATCGGCATCATCATCATCAACATCATCATCATTATCAACATCAGCATCATCATCATCATAATCAGCACCATCAGCATCAGCAATAGCATCATCATCCGCGTCAGCATCATCATCATCAGCAGCATGAGCATCATCATGGTCATTATAAGAAGAAACAGCATCATCACCAGCAGCAACAATTGCATCTTCATCCTCATCACCATTACAGTCACGATTATTATAATCATCATCATCGTCATCATCATCATCATCAGCAGCAGCATCATCATCAGCAACCTCAGCATCAACAGCAGCAGCCGTAACATCATCGCCATCATGGAATCATCGTCATCATCATCCTCAGCATTGCCATCATCATCATGATAAGCACCATCATAATCATCATCAGCATTATCATCATCAGCATCATCGTTACTACCATCAAGATCACCATCCTCATCATCCTCACCATCATTGTCAACATCGGCGTCGTTCGCAGCAGCATTGTCATCATCCACGTCACCCGCACGGTCACTCGGACAAGCATCCTCATCCTCGTCCTCATCGGCAGCAGCATCATCATCACCATCACCAGCATCAATCAGCATCATCATCAGCAGCACCATCAGCAGCATAATCATCATCAGTACCATCACCACCATTACAAACGCCATCGTTGTTATCGACAGTACTGGCGTATTCATCATCAACGTCAGCTTACGCATCATCATCACGCATCATCATCAACTTCACCACGTTCGTCGTCAACATCGCAGTTCCCATCATTAGTATGATCGTCGTCTTCACCAACATCGTCATCATCATCATCAGCATCATCATGATCATAATCATAATCATCATCAGCAGCAGCATCATCAGCATCATCAGCATCATCATCACCACCACATCACCATCCTCATCATCACTATCGTCATCAACATCGCAGTCGTCGTCATCAGCACCATCGTCACCGGCATCAGCTTCATCACCGTCCTCATCGTACTCATCATAAGCATCAGCAGAATAATCATCACCATCCGCATCAGCAGCATCATCATCACCATGATCATCCCCATCATCACCCACATCACCACCACCATCATCATCATCAGCATCATCATCATCCGCATCATCATCACCGTCATCGGCCTCGGCATCACAATCGTCCTTATCATCAGCATCGGCATCATCGTCATCATCGTCGTCGCCGTACTCATCACCGTCATCATCACCATCGTCGGCGTTATGGGCGTCATTATCGTAGTCATCATCACGATCAGCATCAGCATCATTATCATCAGCATCATCAGTATTATCATCAGCATCAGCATCGTCATCATTACCATCATCATCCTCAGATTCGTCATCATCACCATTGTCATCATCAGCATCATCATCATCATCATCATCATCGTCATCATCATCAGCACCAGCATCAGCAGCAGCATCAGCATCAGCATCATCATCATCAGCAGCATCATCATCATTATCATTATCAGTATCATCATCATCATCATCATCATCATCTGCAGCAGAATCAACTCGAATCGAATAGCTCCATGAGAAGCAGTCTCTGCAGGGAAATCGTCAAAGACCAGGGCCTCGGTCTCGAGGCCTGGCCACTCGGGTCCAGGCCAGCGCTGCCTCCATGCAGGGCGGCCCACCCAAGTCGGCGCACAGCCAGGTGGGTGCCCCACTTCGGAGGACCGCCCCCGCCCGCTGAGCTCCAGTCACCTCGTGGGTCGGCCCCTACGCAGTCGCTGGACATCGGGCCCCGCAGGCGCCCGGCGTACAGCTCCCGCATGGGCGGCTCCTCGGGGGTGCCCAGGGCTCATCCTTTCCTGGCTGGCTTGTCTTAGCCCTTCCCCGCCCTCCCCCGACCCCGACACCCCCCCCCTTCCCCTCAGTATGCGAATTTGCTCTCGGCAAGACTGCAACTGGCATCCAGGGGAGGAGCGGGGAGAGGTAAGTATGAAAGTCTCGATGTCCCATCTATCCTGTGGTGTTGGGTCCTCGTTTTGAAGA